GTCAAAAGTTGTTCGTTTTGCTGAGCTACATAATTCTGAGAGGTGGTGAGCTGTATATACGTTCTGAAAGGTTTTGGAAATTTGGCTGATATTTTGGCCAATATACGTTCTGAAAGGTTTTGGAAATTTGGCTGATATTTTGGGCAATAAACGTTCTGAAAGGTTTTGGAAATTTGGCTGATATTTTGGGAAACGCTTGTGGATGGACATCGACCTGCCTTATCCCATTTCTCTTATTGAATACCCGTCTCCCTAACTGACACCAATGTAACGAGTCCAATGACCTGAAAGATGTTTTTTTCCCAAGTGTTTGGAGTCTTTCGCTCGTCAGATTTTGCAGAAGAGTTGCAGCGGCGAGCACGTCTCCATTGTTTGGTATTTTGGTATTTTGGTCTTTTGTACAGCCGATTTCTGGGTCTCTGGGAATGCGGGAAAGTCCCAGTGCCAAAAAAAAAAGAAAAAAAAAAAAGAAAGAAAGAAAGAAAAAAGTCCGAGTGCCAGTGGAATTTGTTTTGTCCGCTCCGCGGGTGACCTTTCCAGAGAGACTGACAAGAAAACAAGCTGGGCGTACGAAATTCCCAAACGCAGTGCCGACCCCTTTTTGGGCATTCCAATCTCTCTGTAGCCCCACTGCTGGAAGTTATCACCAAGCATTCCCTCTTATTTCAACCCCTTTTTGGGCTTTTGCAGAGCGGTACCAAGTTGCCAGCAGTGTGGGCCCATTTTATTCCGGCCCCTTTTGTGGGCTTTTGAAGCCCGGCATAATGACGCCACCATTGGCGTGTCCCCCCGTTTTATTCCCACTAACAGTAATTTCCCACCCTTTCCTTTGTTGGGCTTCTGAAGCATGGTACCCTGATGGCCTCTCTCTTGCGCACAACTCGTTAGCGTATATGCATGAATGCATGTCTGACATACGCCAGTGCGATGATGACCGGTGAACCATGCGTCCTGGGAACCTGTGTATCTGAGCATTGGACCTGCTACTCATAGAGTCTGACGTATGCCTTTGAGCAGCTGATTCGATTTTGTCTTTTTTTCTTTTTCTTTTTGATTTCGGATCATTTCTCAATTTTTGTGCCATCCTTTTTTTTTTTTTTTCCCGAAAGAAAGAGACTTGGGGTCTCATTAGACACTCCTAAAAGAACCCTAAAATTTTTAGGACGAGTCCTAAAGGATTTCTAGGATTTCGTGCGGCGTCGTTACACACAATCCTAAAAATCATCTTTTAGGATTCGTCCTAAAAGGTCTCCCGCAGCCGGTTTTCATATGCGTATACGCAGCCGCGTCGCCAATGTCCGTCCATTCCTGCCAATGTCTGTCCAATCCCCGCCAACAGCTACGGTTCGTGGCCGGACCCGCAGAAAACCTCCGATGTCCGACCACTGACCCGACGGACCGCTTCTGCACCAGCAACTCCGTGTCGACGGTGCCATGCGCGACCCAACGAGTCCGTGAAACACGGGAATCCTAAATTTTTCAGTAGATCGGGGGCTACTGGAAAATTTAGGACGATTTTGCCTGGGGAATCCTAAATCCTTTAGGACTCGTCCTAACGCCGCTCAAAATTGGATCTAGGATTGCGTGCAACCAAGACGCAATCCTAAAAACAGGCACTTTTAGGAGTGTCTAACAAGACCCTTGATATGGAAGACATCTGGGAAACTATCAAGGTGAAAGACAAATGGCATGTAACAATTTCTGAATACCAAATAGAATAATGGCTTTTCTGGCTACAGATCCTTTTTTTTTTTTTTTTTTGGTGCCATCCTCTTGCAGGGGCCATGCTGATTTTTCCCCTATCTCTCCAATTTTTAACACATGTTCATCAGGAAGAGGGGATGTTTTTTTCCCATGCTGATTTTTTCCCTATCGCTCCAATTTTTAACACATGTTCATCAGAAAGAAGGGATGTTTTTTTCCGTTTTTTAGGGGGGTAACTACTACGGCGCAGTCACGTTTTCAGTTCTAAATCCACTTCCGGCATCCCTAGAATACAACACACAGCCGCACCCAACCCTAAAGGTGGGTTGGATACATTCACGATTTCGTGAAAACGGTGACTGAAACGCATTTTAAACTGAAGACCTTGACTGTGCCCTAGATTTCCCTTTTTTTTTCCTTTCTATCAGTCTACGAGAAATGGGTGAGCTCTTTCTGGGAGAGTGTGTCTGAACTGGCCCATTTCAGAAAGAGCCAATGTTTTCTGAGGTTCGCTAACAGGCGCGAATGTGAATGCTTTGGTGTTCGCCCGCACTTGGCCTTTTTTTTTTTTTTTTTTTTTTTTTTT